CATGATTAACAGAATACATGTGACCAACTAACATTTCATGTTCTACCACCGGATGTTCGGATCAAAATGTGAACCAATCAGATCGTAGATCAGGTGAGAGCCAGGCGTTTCCCGTCATCCTCTAGGTTTTGCAGCCGGTGGAGAGCAACTGCAGCGCCTTGCTCCAAAATCTGCGGCCGCCTTGATCTCACGAGGTTATCGTTGCCTACGTAGGCATGATGTCAGAGCAAGTCGGCATCAAGTCAGACACAAATCTAACCGGCATGCACTGCGCGCCGATCACCGGTGATCGAATCTGCGCAGAACTGGCTCATCTCGAACACGGACAATGTGTTTAGAAATATATTATTAAATTCATTTTTATAAACTACATTCTTGACTCAGAATTATTATGAAGTGTGTGTTTCCCATGCAGTCCAAAGAACCCAAGTTCATTATAAATCAAATATTCAAAGACCAATAAGGTTGATAATTCATATTTAAATGGAAAATCACATCTTATTGATCATTCAGTAAAAGTAACCACTACCAGCACGTTACATAATAAATATTGTTGAATTTTATCACACTGTAGACTGACTTTTTATCTGTTGGCTCTATTGGGGGTTATGGCTGTTTATGTTATAGATGTCTCATCATCAGATTAAATGTGTATCATTTAATCAAATTTTAATTTAAAGCTGATTATGATTTAGACCAATTTTTCACCAGTTTTCATTGTTGTAGAACATAAACAGACCTGATGCACACAGCTTGACAGAATAGGGCAGTTTTATTAAATGTCATACCCAGGTAAGGCACATATGTTGATCCTATGTACTCTAATGCCTCAGAGCCAAGAGATATAAAGTAAGTCCAACAGTTTGATAAATGCAACAAGATTTTAAATTCACATTTTACGTTTTTCTGTTTTTTATGAAACATAAAACATAAAATGTGTTGCAAACCAGGACAGAATGTTCATTATAGCGCTAAGTTCACATTTTCTTTACTAAACTCCCCAAAACAACTTTCTGCTGGTGGTAGAAGGACAGGCTGCACTTGGGGGAGATTCAAGATGGCGGAGTGAGCAGGTGGAAAAGTTTGCGGGTCTGACTTAAAAATACAAGTGTCATGTCCTGAAGGATATTTGGTAAAAAAAAAAAAAAACTACTCCTGAAGTAAATACAAAGTGAGTGAAACCTACAGAAGATACTTTCAAGGAAACATCTATATTGGCTAAGCAATATATCCAACCTACAATGGCTAAAGCTAGGCTACCTTGCCTTTCTGATCACGATTATGACCTGGAGGCAATCAGAGAAGCATGTGAAGAGGAAGATATAGAAGAGATGGAAATCCACGAAAAGATGGCAAAAACTCTGGGTGACCACACTCCACTACCAAGCCCAAATCCAAAGAGACAAAGAAAGAAGACCGAAGGAAAACAAGTAAGCAATGAAAATATATATGAGACACTGCTAGCATTTACGCAAAAAATGGAGGATAGATTTGACACTCTTGACAAAAACCTGAAGGCTTTTGAAAGTCGAGTTGAGGCAAACACGAAGGCAACAAAAGAAAACAAGGAAGAAATTGAAAAACTGAAAACACAAATGGAGTCTCTGATGAAGGAAAATAAAGATTTGAAAGAAAAAAGTCTGGAGAGCGTTCGATATCGGAGGAAATGGGACCTGAGACTACTGGGACTGGCTGAAAAGAAAAGAAAAATACACGTGACACAGTGATTGGAATTCTAACAAGAGTCATTCCTGTGTCGGTGGATAAACTTCAAATCATGGTTGACACAGTACATCGGTTGGGAAAAAAAGACAATGCTGCGACTAACAAGATGCCAAGACCGATCGTCATCCAGTTCAGCATGAGGACGGCAAGAGATGAGGTGTGGAGGATGTCCAAGGAGGCCAGAGTCTGCAAGGATCTGCACATAAAACTCAAAGAGGACTTTTCCAAAGAAGATCGTGAACGAAGGAAGCTGTGGCCGAAAGTACTGGAGGCTTGGAACAAAGGCAGAAGAGCATTTCTGAAAGAAGGGTATGCTGTAATAGATGGGAAAAGGATTGACCCATAGGTTATAATAACAAGGAGTATACAGAAAAGGAATAAACCTTGTCTTAGATATAGGTCAGCGGTTCCCAAACTTATTTAGCCACGCACCCCCTTCTATGTCCCGATTATGTCGACGCACCCTCAGCCCCCACAACAGTGCGTAGCTATGGGGCTACACACACACACACACACACACATATATATATAATATTTAGAGTGACCATGTAGCACACAAACAATGCAATTTAACGACTTCTCTTGAAGTAGGAACATTTAACCTGTGGCCAGAAGTACGCTCTCTCCTTCCTTCTGCTCTGATGTAAACCTGAACTGGTCACCTGCTTGAGCGTAATCAAAGGTCTCTAATGGGGCTTTCTGAAGAGCCTGGAGTCATGAAGAAGTTCTGTATTTTGCCTCAGACAGGCTCCTGGCTGTTCCGGCTGAATCTGCGCTCCTCTGTCACATGGACTAACAAGCAATCCTGGGGTGGGGTCCATAACTGGGGAGATTGCTTTGCATTTATGATCCCTAAACAGAAGCTTCTATTTTAATTTTGTGAAATAATGTTGTTTTAAAATCACGTAAATATGCTTTAATCACGGAATAGGCTAGCCATAGCTTATCTCTGCATCCAGCACCTGCGTAAATTCCATTTTTTGGTTCTTTTTAAAACACAGAAAAGGTTTTTCTTTACTACAGGTAAAGAAAAACCTTTTCTGTGTTTTAAAAAGAACCGAAAAATGGAATTATAAACTGAACATAGCAAGAACACATCAAAGGCCTGCTTAAATGTTCTGACGGTGCCACGGGCGGCTCCAGGAAATTATACCAGCAGTTGCTCGGTCAGTGTTTGGGTTTGCTGCCCGCTGTCGGCGCGTACTGAAGGGGGGGGGGGGGGGGGGGCGGTCCCAAACTTCCTAAATATGGCACATCATGAAATTCCAGGGCATCAACATGAAGTACAGAAAAAGGTGAACATTTTTATCCTGCATTTCATTATCACTATGTAGCCTTGATAAACTACATATTTAGGAATTAAAGGCTGTTGCTACTCAGCTTATGTTTTAATTCGTAAGAAAGAGCAAACAAATGAATGAATGAAATTTACATGCATGTATACACATACGGATATATGTATATAATAGATGTAAATTCATACACCAAATTGCTTGGTCTATGTTTAATCAAAAGATATTTAATTTTTAAGATTTAATTTAATACCAAAGTTATTTGTTAATTCAGATCTTAAGATCTTTGTTCGTTCAGTGATCGATATACACCCACTCTGTGTTTATTTCAATGAAGAGTCAAGTTTAAAAAAAATTAAGAAATTTATTACTAAACAATTTAAACATGACAATAAACATGACGTCCCTTGGACACAGCCAAAGCTTCTGGTGCTACGGTGGCTGACTGGCTCAAACTGCGCAAGGTGTAGTTTCCGGCTTTCAAAATAGAAAAATCCCAAAATGAAAATAATTACTTACAAATTAAAATACAAAATAATATATACACATCTGAAAGTAGTTTACCCGTTACACACATAGAGGAAACAAGACACCCTGGTGATGTGACGCTAGCATCTGAGGAACCCATTACATCCACATCACTCCATTAGTCAACACTGATAGCAGCCAAAGCTAACTAGCTTAGCGCGCCATAGGCACGCGGCTCGTGGGTAACCAGCTAATGCTACCGTTAGTTTCATTTGTGCTTCATGGTGCCGCCGAAGCGCGGAACCAGACACTTAACGATGAAGACCGTGCAGACACGTCGGTCGGTGGCCGAAGCATCCGTGTCTAGAACCCTCGCGGACACCGGTTTGAGGTTATTACGTTCCAATAAGCAGACCTTACTAATCACTGTCCGGCAGACTAACATGTCTCCTGGTTCCCCGGGCTCTCGTGGACCGTACCTACCTGTCCCAGGTGTAATACTCATCTAGGTGAGAGCAAAAGCAATCCTTACTGTGCAAACGTGACGTTCCGAGAGCAGTCCCAGGACTTTTCATATAAAACAGTGATTTGTGTTAATTGTCTATGATTTAAAAGTCATTATGTAGCCGAAGAACGTTACGTTTAATATCGTGTTGTGAAAACTTGATGTTGGACTTTCTAAAACAATTCAGTGACTCGTCCCAACAGGACGGGGCTTCCAGTGGCCAGGCACCATCACTAAGTCCGTTTGGTGAATCTGAAAACACATTTCTGGCTTAAAGACGTTGCATTAAACCTGCTGATGAACCCAAACCCCCTCACAAGCTGAGAGACAACTGCTCAAAACTTCCCATTATCTGAAGCACTTTTCTAATGCGTTTTTATAAACCTGCTCTCAGAAATCATGTTCCATTGGTGTAAAAAAAACTAAGTTAAGGTTAAAAGTATCTTCAGCAGATCAATTGATCAGCGTTACCTCTGGGGGGAATCGATAAAGCTTCCTGCTTTGATGCTCATGTCAGTGCTGGGATATCCTCTTCATCTGAGGCGTTTGGCTAAAGTTAAGCCATTTTTAAGATCTTGAGACTGTTCTTCATGGGTACTGTGGCTCGCTCACATCTTGTTCAGAAAGCTGCAGCAAGATGTTTGGAAGGCAAGAGAAAGCACCAACACACAACTCCAATTCTGGCCACCTGATGGTGTTCAAGGCAATAACGGGTTGGCCCCTGCTTATGTTCCTGGTCAGGCACAACATTCCCAGAACCCGGCTGAGCACAACAGGGGACTGGGCCTTCTCCATGGCAGGTCCAAGACTCTGGAACGCCCTTCCTTTAACCATTGGGCTTTCCCATCAGTAGGGTTTTTTAAATTAGGCTAAAGACCCATTTGATCTATGGGTGAGCTTCTGCAGTCACGTCTACATGCTGTTTTTATTGTACTGCACTTTAATGGCATGTTTCATGCCCGTAAGGTGCTTTATAGGGGGAACCTTACATAAACCAATGAAAGCATGGGCCAAATGTTACCATCTTTTTATTGTTTTATTCTTTATTAAAAATGTCATTTCAAATCTTGTGGATATTTGTAAAACAATACAATGAAAAAAAAAGACCCATAGAAATGGTGTCAATTACCTCTGGTCAATAACCAACAGACTGCTGCCCCTCCCCAGCCTTCCCTTTACCCCCAACCCCAAACAATACACGTCAAAGGAATGAGCTGGTACTGATAACCACACAAGTAGAAGGGAAAATTAAAGGAAAAAATGTCCCACTTAAAAATATGGAAAGGTCTCCTAACACTAGGGCACTACACCATGGCTTTAGATTTACCACACAACCCCCAACAGGAGAAACTCTGTGCAGCTCATCTTCAAATTCTACTGAAAATGCTGCGCTGACTATTTTTAATATTTTATTATTATTTTGAAATGTGTCAGGGAGATGGTATTCCGTTGAGGGCAAAGTGCCACCGGCCTCGGAGGAGTCGAAGGAGAACAACATGGCGTCGGCAGGTGAAGAGGCTTCAGGATGGGAAGTGAAGCAAATATGAATAAAATAAAAAAAATAAAACCTTTGCTCCCGAACATGAATGGAAAAGTAAACAGGAAATAGAAGGTCAAGGGTCTTGTTGGTGATAATTCTTAGTCGTCTTCTCCATCATCCTACAAAAAAATAAATAAAAAAAGTTGACAAGAGAAGTTCTCTCCAAAGAGAAAACTTCTCTTTAATCACTACCTCTCCATCTTCTCCTTCATCCTCTTCATCATCCTCTCCATCTTCATCTCCCTCCTCATCGATGTCCTCCAGACCCTCCTCATCTTCTTCATCCTCCTCACCTTCAGCCTCCTCGTCATCCATGTCAGGGACCTAAGAACGTAAACTGTTGTTCTGACTGGATCGAGGTTAAGTCTCCCCACCTTCTCTTAAGAGACCAACGACCTAAGCCATTCGTGCACAAACACAGCCGACAGCACGTGTTGTAAACACACCAAGTAGTACTGCAGGGGGTTTGGCCAGATGTCGTCCTTGATGACCTCGCCAAGCTCATCAGCTCCAGCATCAGCATGGTCAGTGAACCAGGTGAAGAAACTCTCTGGCTCTTCGTGTTGCCTCTTCCGCCCGGCTTTGCTCTGTGACTGACTGGAGCGCTTGGTCAGGTCCTGAACCACGTACAAATAAAGAGCTAAAATTAGCAGCTGGTTTTATGTACCCTCTACATGTCAGACAGCAGCATCTTAGCCCAGGAAACAGCTTCAAAGGTTCAGCCAAGACACACCAACCTTTCCTGACTTCCATTTGATTTCTGTTGATTTTGAAGACGGGTCTCCACTTTCGTTCAGATGGAACTCTTTGGAAAGAACTTTGTTTTCGAAGTATGGATTTTCATCAAAATACTGAAGAAAAAAACAACTTTTAAGTAAAAACTGAGACATGAACACTTCCACTGGTATGGAGGTAAAAAACAAAAAAAAAAACAGCACTTACAAAATCTATTCTGTAGCCTGACTTGATGTCTTCAAACTCTGTCACCTCCACTCGGCTCAGGTAATGAAGTGCTTCTTCATCCTCCTCTCCCAGTAGGGCAGATACTAAGATGCACATTTTTTAAGTCACAGTACTTTCCAGAGTACACGACTATGGAAATTAAAACATTGTACTTGAACACTCACCCTGTGGATGGTTGACAAATGTAGTGACCCAGAAGTTTGGGATTTTGGCGATCAGTTCTGACCTCTTCTGAAAGAATGGCTGACGGAGTTTGTTGTATTTCTGTTCTACTTTCAGGATTTCCTCACTGGCTTGCTCGTTCAACCTGAGAGAAGGGCAGAAAAGGTTTATTCAAAAAAAAAAAGCTAGTTTAGTTTGCTACTTTAGGGAGAAAAAAAGCACCAAATCTGAGTTTTGGAGAGCTGAAACTGTGCAGTTTGCATGTCTAGCGTGATGCTCCCGTTGATTTTCTTTCAGAAACAAAATACACAACTTTGGAAATGTAATAATCGAAAACCTCTCCCTACATAGCTGTATAAGGGAAGGCTCGTTTTCCTGTTCGCATTTCCACCATTGCAGTGACCAGGTCCACCAGCGTAGGTGTCCTCCAACTTGACTTTTCTCACCTGTCAATTTCATTTTGAACTTCATCAATGTGTTCAATAGCTTCTTGCTGCTCTTTCTCTGCAGGGAAAAGGAAGAAAAAAATGTTCTCGTAAACAGAACTATATGAAGACAAAAATATCACATTTTTGTCAGTGCATGTGAATTTAACCAACGCAATATTTATTTACAAAGTTTAAGTCAGTAATTCTAAAGGCTCCAGTGAAAATCCCGGGTGTTTACCATCAAGAGGATACGGTCACGTTAGCGGCCAATGGCGGCAGAGCTCGCCTCTCACACACGCAGCGTTTCCTGCCGGTAGCAACCTACAGGGCCGCGTGGTTTAAATGTGGGACAGCAGACCCCTCACAGCCGCGGTAACGGGACACAGCGAGCCGGGACAGAGTGTCGGAATCTCCAACTACTGGTCCAACAACGGTCTTCCACGGAGGGATCGAACCGGGTCGAGCCCCTCCAAGCCTAAGTGATAGGAGGGCTCGGAGATTTAAATCCAAGAACAAAACACAGCGTCGTCAGCTAGCGTTGGGTAACCCTACAACAACAACACTGGCAGTCGGGACTCCGCTCACCAAGCTCGGTTACATAACCCGAAGACCACGGCGGTTTGTCCCAAAGTCCGGGCTAAGCACAAATAATGGATATCAGTCTTCTAAAGTCAAGCAGTCTGCACTCATCGTCCACACTGGCCACGCTGGTGATGCTAAATGCCCGGGCTAACGTGGCCTCTCGGCTCTAAACAACAGAGCAGCGGCATGCTAAAACACCATTCAGCTGAAAATACGCAGCAAAACCAGCGGTGAAGCGCAAAGGGTGCTCGGGAAGCAAAAACAACCAAATGTGTTGACTAACTACTAGCTAAAATGCACGCGGTGGTCACACAAACAATATTATTGAAGAAAGTGAAAATGGCGCTGAATAAGACGAGGCCGCCATTCCCCTTACCGGAGGTCTCGTCCGCTCCGTCATGGTTCGAGTTCAGCTCCTTTTTACTCGCTTTCGCCGCCGAGGCAGACATTTTTCCCGCAAGAAGAGGGTAACTCAGAAACGTCTGAAAGAATAGCCGGTCGTTTATAATCTCCCGCACCAGGAGAGCGTTAGTTCGCTGTAAAGTTCAGCGCGGAGGAGCCGACAACGTGCTGCTTTCCACACAATGTAGCTGCCGAAGAGCGAGGAAGTCACCGCGCGCTGCTTTCATTACGAACGCGCCTCGCCGAATGAAGCGCGGAGCAGCTCCGCCTCTCAAAGTAGGTCTCAGAGCTCGGCTCCAATCTGCTCGTTTACCACCGTCTCCTCTTCTGAAACCAAACCAGGAATTAACCAAATACCATTTATATAGATTCACACGAACAAATCACGATTACACTCAAGTCTCGGAGGCGAAATCATCTTTTAAACAACACCGACTTGCTCTGGCGCACTTATTGAAACATGTCCGTTGGTGGGAGCCTTGCTCCGACAGTCCCCGCTAGTTAGCGCAAAAAACGACCTTTTAGTAGAAGATTTATATTTTACCACACTTCTGACTACTGGCTCCCTCGGGCTACTTTGACACATAGTTTTATTCTTTAACAATAATTTAGCTTTCAGCGCTTTGGTGAAATATACGTATATATGTGTGTGTGTATATATATGAGTTTGTTATAAATTATAGATAATTTTATTGTCATTGCACAGGTGTACAACGAAATTGACTTGCGATCATTAAAGTGACAGTGTGTAGTTTTTACTGTTAATCACTGTAAATGACATTCAAAATGTTGTTGAAAATGTATGATATGATGCCCAGTTGTTGAAAAATCAGGTCGAAAATACAACGTCTCTGGGTGACGCCATATTAAATGCTAGCACTGCCACAAATGCCTATTTTAGTAGGGGACTAATCTTGTCATTCATAAAAGTTTAGCTTGTTGCACCAGGATGCTCTAATATACCATCAGTAGCTTAGTCTGAAGTGTGATCAGCTATGTGCCATCTAGTAATAAAGACAATATGATCGCTTGTCAAACAACTATAATTAACTTTGTAACCCGTTAATACAAATGCTGCAGTCAGATGAGGTAGGCACCTAAAACCAAACATGACTTGTGTTCAGAGGCATGGTGGCGAGGTTGAAGCTCTTCATCTTCCAATCTCAACTCAGGAAATAGCAGGACACACCAAGGTACGCCTCTGTAGCATGGCTGGTCCACACGGCAGCAGTCAGGGTCTGCTTTACCGTGAAGATATAAGATATTAGGGTTAGTTTATTTACCAGATTAATAATTCTGTTGTATCACATAAAGCAGGTTAAGATTTAAAGGAGACATATAATGAAAAACTCACTTTTTTATCCCTTAATACAGTGTGTTTCACATTTTAAGCGTCTAAGTGTGCAAAAAGCCTTGTATTGCTCACTAGAGGTGCTATTTAGATATTTAAATATAGAGTTTTGTCATATTTGTCAACCCGTTCAGTTTTTTAAATGTGTCTAATAAATCTTTACCTTTGGTGCATTTTGAGAGATAAAGTATCTATACATGTTCATGGTATTATAATGATATATTTGAGTTAATGTTATCCTGTCCTGTCTTTATCCATCATGAACACTGGCTGTAGTGAAATCTACTGATGCATCCATGCTGCTCAGTACCAGAACTGCACTGGTGTCACTAGTACGCGCTGCATGGTGGCGCTGTTGTTAGCGCTGTTGCCTCGCAGCAAGAGGGTTGCAGGTTCAAATCTCAGCTGCGGCCTTTCTGCGTGGAGTCGCGTGTTCTCCCCATGCATGTGTGGGCTTCCTCCGGGTACTCCGGTTTCCACGGAGATCACAACATGCCCTATAGGTTAACTATTGCACGTCTGTCTGGATGAAAGCATCTGCCACATAAATAAACATAAACATAGTTACTAAAGAACCAATCAGCTGGCAGAGCTGCTGGTGAACGTGTGAGCGTGCAGAACTTGATAAACTAGAGAGAGAGGACAGGAGAAGTCCTCTCATCAGCAGCAGGTGATCAACAGAGTGTCAGGACCGAACACCGGTCCAAATAAAACAAAAGACGACTAAAAACATCGACCTCAGATCGGACCACCCGGGGGTTTCCCCGGTCTGCTGCTGGTTCCACCCGCTGTGATCTCCGTCAGACCGGAGCTGCTCGTCATGTTAACTCTCATTGTGACACCTGAGCTGGCTCCATTGGTTCTCATTAGTGCGACTAGATCTACAAAGTCTTCACAAATAAGCACAACGTAGATCTGTGGCTCGTAAAGAACCAAAGCCAGAGCGCACCACGGGGGCGAGATTGTAATGAGCGTGCATTTTTGCTGCTTGGGCGGTGGAGAAATGCATTTCAACGATTGAACCGACCGGAATACTGACATATGGGCCATTCCCATCTGTACCGGGTCAGCCCGGGCCGGGTAGCGTAGGTTGTTTACATATATGGGTGGCCTGGTATTTTTCCGGGCCAACCAAGACTCATTCTCAGCCCTCTTCTTGAGGGGGTCTGCTTCAGACCAACCAGGGCCAACACACCCACTGCTGACAGCAAATTCACACCTTCCATTAGAGCAAGCCTCTGATTGGTGGGTAGAATCAGCCCACATGGGCTTAAGGCAAGGATGTGTGGAATCAACCGGGCCAGGCTGGGGCCCAACTGGGGCTACCCGGTACAGATGGGAATGGCCCAATTGGTAACGCCTGTGAGCACAGGTGTGGGTTTCAGTTAGCAACAGGAGAGGGAGGGGGAGAAACTCAAAGAGATGGCTACGTTTTTGAGCTCAAGTGTGGGTGTTTAACCTCCTCATTAGGAAAAGTGTTAAACCCCCCACATCCCCCATGGCAGGCAGGTTTCATTACCCTCTTCAGGGCCTTCCTGCTGCTGCTGTACCACACCAGGATGCTGGCGGTCTATGGAGCAGTGCTAAAGCCACACCTGTGGGAGGTTGGTCTTTCTGAGAGCCCTCAGGAATACCTTATAACGGCATTGTGATGCTAACATTAGCACGTCTCCTTTCATGTGAGTATAGACTACCGTCCCAAAATGCATATTCAGATTTAGTTTGACCCGTTGTTAGGGTTTATGCAGAAACAAGTACGTTTCTGAGGAAATCCAGAGCACGGTGCATCATTTACGGGATGTGAACGTGAACTGTTAGCAGGTGTTTTTAAAAGTCTTAAAAAGGGTGTTTGTGCTTAGTAACACCCGATTTTAATCATTTAACATGATCTGTTTTTGCTGATTCCCCTTGAGTTCACTTCCAAACAAATCCTTCCCTTTCGTTTAACCCTCCCTGTCGTGTAATGGGGGTTAGAGTCATTCTAATGGTTTCCTAAGTCAGGAGAACAACAACCAGAAGGCGTGCGGCGTGTCCTTGTCAAAAGTTACGAGGATTAACAGGAAATGACCACAAAGCTCCACAGTAACAGCTTTTAAGTCTGCAGGTGTTGCAACACCCCGTTAGAGCAGATTTTAAAAAATCCCTGCAGCTGATCTGTGCTTTGTCCAGAAGAGAGCAGCAGCACCTGTGGGTTTGTGTTTGGGTTGGTGTCAGAACAGGAACATGTGGTTGTGCAGCAGCCAATGCCGAGCCCAGAGCAGGATCAGCGCTGTGGAGAACGAAACCTCTTAAAAAGACACGCCACCGAGGAGAGGGAGGATTTGGTTACAGAGCAGAGGACGAGGACGCGGTGGGAGGTGGATGCCACAGAGGAGGCTGCAGGAAGGTGAAATCAAACAACGAGACAAGCTGTACCAAGATGTAGGTGATGCACCAGAGTGTGTCTGTGAGTGCACCAGAACATCCCAGGACTTCTGCTCAAGGATAGTGAGGATGGAGAGCTGCAACCTGAGCAGCTCCACGTCCACTTAGGAAGACAGATTAGTTTTTACTCTGCAAGGAGCAAAGACTCGTCCGGAGGTTAGTAGACTGCAGCGTCATCCTGTTTTCCCCCGACACGAACATGTTGTTCTCACTTCCACACTTCCTGTTTTCACACTTGGGCTGGTCCGAAGAGCCGAATAAAGTCCTCCACGTTTTGCTGGATCCCTGCTGCAGTCCCAGCTGAGCTTTTTTATTCTTGATGTGTTATCCAGGATCAGATGCTGTCCACAGCTCAGCAGATGCTGCAGGACAGCCGCTCCAAGATCGAGCTGATCCGACTGCAGATTATCAAAGTGACCCAGCCAGGAGGCAGCGGTGGAAACCAGAACAACTCCTCACACGGAGGTCAGTCCTGGGAAGGAGTCAGCATGTACCTCCATGCCTGCTGCCGCTGGGCTTGGTCTAAAAATGAGCTGAATGTGTTTCTAAACACCACGAAGAAGACTTTAAAATAAGAAAAACTGCAGAGCGAGTTTAGTTTGATGACCACATTTAAAGAGAGGTGGTGGTTTTCTACTGACAGCCCTGCAGGTTTGCTTTTACGGTGATTTTTAAATCTTTTTAATGAATTAATATTATTTTTAATTGAATGATATTATATTTTTCTCCTTGTGAAACCTGGGTTAGGGTTGATCTTTGAATGTTTAATCAGAAGATTATAGTTACTTTACTTGTTCAGGGATCATAAACACTCTTCGTATTAACTCAGAGTCAGGTATGTAAATTATAAACATGAATTTATTTATTTTCCCTAAACTAATTATGATACATGACGAGGTATGAATAATGAGATGCAATGTAATGGATATGAAGTGATTGAATGTGATGGATGAAATGATGGAATGGAAGCTAGATGTGTTAGCAAAACCTTTCTCAGGTATCGGAGAGAGTTGTGGAGTCTGGGTTGTAAAATAAATGTGGCTGTTTGGTAAACTAGAGATCTGTTTGTAAAACCATCTGACGCCAGAGTGCAGCCTACAGTACCCTGTTGTGTGTGTGGCTCCCGGCAGTCCGGGTGGTGAGTCACTGGACATCAAGACCACGAGAACCCAAAGAGTCGTAGCTTCCTTTGAATTCAGCTTTCACCGTCCGTGAGATGCAACCAGGGTCTGCAGGTTAGATGTCTGAGGTGTGGAGGAGCTCTTAGAAGAGCCGTTGTATCTGATATCACCCGCAGCGTCGCAGAGAGGCTTTGACTGATGTCAAAAGAGAAGACGGCTTCAAAATGCAGCCAGCTGGAAACTGGATTAATTCCAGAAACAGTTCTGTTTTATCAAAATCACGTGTTGATAAATTTGGCAAAGGGTTACGCCAAGTAGGTTTGTGACCTTTAAAACACGGAGTACGCACAGCTGCACACAGTCTCCGCTTTCTAAATCACACTCTACCTAGAAAGGTTCTCAGCTGTTTCTGGATCACATCCCACCCTCACCACGCCCACTTTCTGCCATAAATGGTCAAAGCAAAGCGCCTTGGGGATCTCATGCATATACATAAGCCGGCTCGTTGCAGCGCTCCACCATTAACGATGGCGATCAAGGAAGCGCTGTTCCACCGAAGCAGAAGTTGAGGTACTTGTGGGTGAGGTGGAGGAATGAAAGGAAGTGCTTTTGCAAAACAAATAAGAGAAAATCCACGGAGAGGCACAGCGGTGCTGAAGCCGTCAATGTTGTGAGTTCTCAGAGAGATCTGTGGTGGATATAAAAAATAGTCCAATAAGGATTCGAATCCCCAGACTCCCAGGTGAGAGTCACGCGCGTTAACCAGTCAGCCAAACAGAGATCTCCCTTGTCCAAGTAGCCAGGGCGCATGATCAATCAGGTCACAGTGACAGGACACACACACTGTCACAGACGCATGATATTCTGTCTCAATCTGTCCCCCTGCTGATATTCTGCATTCCATATTCTGCACTTCAGGCTGTGTGTGTGTGTGTGTGTGGAGGGGGGGGGGGGGGGGGGCTTGTACAGGTGATAATGCTGCTGGAATTTGTTACGTTATGAAGTCTATTCTTCACCATCTAACTAACACAACATAACCGTTCACACACATTGAAGGCTGCATCATCTGTCGGGGCCCAGACGCCCAAAACAACCTTTTGCCCACTTATTGTTCGTCACTGGAGACGTAAACATTCTCCCTCAAGGTTTCTGCCATCTCTGCGTGAAAGCCAGATGTCAACATTCTTCACTCTGAGTAAGTGAAGCCCACATGACTTTACAACCAGGAGCTTAAACAATCACCTGTGATGAATGAACAAGACGTTTAGATCAAATGTTTTGTAACAGACGCCGTCTGTTTCGTGGCCGCTAGGTGGCCTCATCGTCACTCCCTGCTCTCCTGGCCCTACCTGAGCCAGGTGCAGCTAATTTCAATCAGTAAGCTTCCCTGTTAAAAGCCAGCTCTTTGTGACATTCGGGAAGGGAAGCTTAGAAGAGGCCTGGTGTTAGAGCGAGTGTTCCTCTTTTTCCCTCCTAGAAAACCAGATGTTAAAGTCTTCGTTTTTGATTACCTGTGTGGTATTGTAAAACACTTCCTAATTTCCAGAGCTCGTTTTGTGTTTATTCGAATACTCGTTAAAGAGTTCAGCTCACCCTTTTGGTGGAGCTTTTTGTGTTCATCTAATTCCTTCCTTTTTCCCGGTTTAGTCCCGGCGTTTTGTGTTTATTGATCTTAGTGTTGTTTACCCAGTATTGGATGATCTTTGAGTTTAGTATTATTATTGTCAATTCCCCAGTGTTGGACGTCTTTTGGTTTTGTATAATTTGAGTCTTTTACCTGCATAAAGCAGTGATTTGTAGTTAATAAACTCCTTTAAGAGAGTAATTCTTGGTTTGTTCGGTCATTCACACATCTTTCTTTACGCCCTCAAATAACATCATCTCCTAGGCGAGCTGGGGGCCGTAAAATGTTTGAACAATCTGTGTTTGTGAGCCAGACGGCTCTTTTAAGAGTCAGACATCGACCTCGGACGCTGACAAGCATAGATAAATGATAAATGACCCGCACTTGTATAGCGCCTCTCAGAGTAAGGACTCCAAAGCGCTTTACACTACAGTGTATCATTCATCCATTCACACACACATTCAGACGCTGATGGTGATGAGCTACGATGTAGCCACAGCTACAGCTAAGTAATAATCATCTGATTAAACAAAGATCAATCAGGTTGATATTTCATATTTATATGGAACCATCACATCTTATTGGTCATAATTAATTTAAAGTCTTTCACCCTACAAATTCATAATTGTATCTTCAGCAGCAGCAGCACTGCAGGTGCTCTCCATGTCCTAAATGTGTGTAAGCCAGGTCCTTAGGCAACTCAAAGTTGCGCACATTTTTCCGCTAAGTTTTCTTTCATAAATCCCAAAGTTTGTTTGGAAAGTTGCTTCCGCAGTTTTCCGACCCCGTTTAGTGCGTAAGCAAGCTTGATAAATGAGGCTCCAGATGTAGATAATAACTGAAATGGATCATTGCAGGAACAACATTCATTTTAAAGCCATCATTGATTAAAGCACAGATTATCCAAACATGTGATTTAAACATCGTGTTCATTCAACACATTTGATGATTTAACTTATGAGCTGTGAACTCAGTAGGAACTTGGAGGAGGTTGACTGTTACTCCTAGTGAGGTCTGACTTCTGCTTGAGGAAAGATGCCGGGGCTTCTCGCGGTAACGAGAACTGGGGCAGAACTTAGTTCTGGATTTGGAGGCCAGACAGATGTTTTCATGTCTACAAATGAAAAGGTTAACTTCTGGTCCGTTTGTTGGTGAAAATTTGACCACTGGTACGTTGCACCGCACAAATCCGATTCCAGCTATGTTCTATTTTACATCTACGAGAACCTCCAGAACCTCCTCTGCTCCCCATCGCACACGCGTTGCCATGGTAACCAGACTGAACGACAGCTCAGAGGCTGCACTCAGACATTTTCTAATACAACTAAGTCCACCCAGAACAACTCCTTAAACGAGAACCCGGCACTCTACGACTGATCAGGTTAAAGTTTTCATTTATTCCTACGGGAACCTCTCCTCCGTCCCGACCGCGTTTACAACCTCTGACACGACTTTGGCTCTTTTGCCCTTCAGCAGAAAATGTCTCAATCTCATAAATGTTCTCTTTTTCCAGGTAGACGGCAGGGAATCTCCTCACGTGCTGAGGACGTAACGTGACCAAATATGGTTATTTGAAGGCGTTTCTGTATGTATATTCCTGAGAATGGACACGAGCAGCTGGGTAGCACAGGTGGGGCTCATCATCAGATGAGTGCGGAGGATCGTGCGTACGAGAGGCCACCGCATGTTTCACAGACCAGGACTTTGACCGTTCGTACGAACGTTATAAATGTAGTTCTTGGGAAAGAATGAAGGAATATTTGTAAGAGCGTTTCAGGTCTGATGAGTCTGGATGTCAGCTGTGGGTCAGAATCTGGTGTCACCAACATTAAAGCATGGGTCCATGCTGCCTTGTAACCATGCTTCAGGCTGGTGGTGGGGTGTTCTGGTCCCACTCTGGACCCCTCAGTCCCGCTTGAGCCTGGTTTAAACCTCCCCGAGTATTGCTGCTGACCCCTTTCTGACTACATGGACCCAGTCAGTGGAAGGGAGACATGTATGAAACAAAGGCCATTATCAGAAGAGAAGACTCCTGTCTGAGGGCCCCCTTCATCCTTTTTTCTCAAAACTGTTTTGGAAAGGTTGGCCTGAAGGCCACACACAAACAAAGCTCGTGTGTAGACTGAAGCCTGCAGCGTTTTGCAGAAAGGGGCTGACTTTACTTCAGTAAATGAGGACTGCAAAGCAAAAATTCTTATGGTGACAGTCGGTGCTTGAAGGAGAAAAAGGTAAGTGCCGGTTCTCCCCAAAGGAAAATGTTACCGGGGGGGGGGGGGGGGGGGGGGGGGGGTTATGGCATGAAGGGCCATACACCTTGGTAGGCGCACAGGTCACATGACCAGCCTCTGTCAGCAATAGCAGGAGTCTTTTGCAGATACACAAATATTTTCTGGATGCAAAGTCACCAGTGGGTGCACCTTGTGCTAGCCAGAGCACTCAGGTGTTCTTGTGCCACGAGGAGCCTCAGTTTGAGAAGCTTCACTCAGCAGAAGCAGCTGCAACAGAAAGAGCTAGGATTCACGTCTAACTTCAACATCGACCCTGTCACCACCAGAAACCCATCCTTCAAGAAGATTAAGATTTGTTTTGGTCTCAATGGGAAATGACACAATGAAATTCATGTAAATAATACAACTTATGAAATGACTAGAATGTAACAGGAAAACACCGCATACTCCCTCTTGCTAAATAGACCAGAAGCCTGGAGATGCCAGAAATCCTCAAACGTATTCTTCCCTACTGGCTGATTCCAGCCATGTTTGCTTTCATAACCTTATATGGCCTGTATTTGATATAGCGCCTTCTAGAGTCCTGGAACCCCTCAGGGCGCTTTACAACACAATCAGTCATTCACACATTCACACACACATTCACACACTGGTGGGGATGAGCTACGATGTAGCCACAACTGCCCTGTGGCGCACTGACAGAGGCGAGGCTGCCGAGCACTGGCGCCACCGGTCCCTCCGACCACCACCAGCAGGCAAGGTGGGTTAAGTGTCTTGCTCAAGAACACAATGATTCAATTCAATTCAATTCAAGTTTATTTATATAGCGCCAAATCACGACAAGAGTCGTCTCAAGGCACTTCACATAATAAACATTCCAATTTAGGTCAGGTCATTAAGCCAATCAGAAATAATGTTTCCTATATAAGGAACCCAGCAAATTGCATCAAGTCACTGACTAGTGTCAGTGACTTTACAGCAATCCTCATACTAAGCAAGCATGCAGCGACAGTGGAGAGGAAAACTCCCTTTTAACAGGAAGAAACCTCCAGAGAATCCTGGCTCAGTATAAGCAGCCATCCTCCACGATTCACTGGGGATCGAGAAAACAGAGCACTCACACACACACACACACACACACACACACACACACACACACACACACACACACACACACACACACACACACACACACACACACACACACACACACACACACACACGCGACAGACTGAGCGGGGCTCAAACCTGCAACCTTCCGATTACGGGGCGAGCACTTAACTCCTGTGCCACCGTCGCCTTAATGCTGATGACCACATGAACACTATTCCTCTGTGTAGTGGATGCAGTTACATCATGAAGTTAGGGCTTGCGTGATAAACTACCCACCCCTACATGGAACTGAAATTTCAGTTGTTTGTCTGTTCTCGTCTAACAGAGTAGCAAAGTTTTACCTTATTTTGTTGAGTTTCAGCTACTTCCTGTCACCTTCATCAGAGCTTTGGTGGTGTCGCATCAGTTGTCCTTGTTCTGAGGGCCGTAGTCTTTCCAGTCGGCCGTGTTGGCAGCTGCGACCCGACGGCGGGCTTTCATTGACTGGAAGACGGACAGATCGTCGTTTTTGTGTTCGGTAGACTCTTCTGTCAGGGCGCCCCGGGGCAGCTGTGGCTACATCGTAGCTCGTCATCGCCAGCGTGTGAATGGGTGAATGACTGATTGTGTTGTGAAGTGCCTTGGGGAGTTATTGAACCCTAAGAAGGCGCTTTACAATCACAGACCTCTTATTTCCTCCAGATTTGACTGCTGAATGAGGTGAATAAAGAATCACTACTTTACTTTCATTGGTTCTGTCCCTGTCTACCATTCTGTCCTAGAGACTTCTCCGGTCCCCGTCGGTCCCGTGGACGCCCGTCTGGCCGAGCTGCAGCACTACATAAAGAGAGAGAGTGATGCTTTGCTTCTGGCCCAAGATGTGGTTGAGCAGCTGGAGGGGATCTCTGAGCTGGACCAGAAAGCGCTGGCTGAAGTGAGTCACGTTGCAGAAGCTTGCTGATCCAAACACAACGTTAAACCGGCATTGGTTTTAACCGCCGTGTTCTCACAGCCTTTTAAAGGACCCGGGCTGTTTCCTGACCAGTGTTCTGAATGGCCTTGAAGGAATTTCAACCAACAAGACAAAATGTCTCTTTCCTCATTCACTCCTTATTTAAACCACCTGATCCTCAGCAGGGTCTCAGGGAGCTGCTGTCCAACTCCAGCAGTAATAGGAGACAGGCAGGGGACACCGTGGACAGGTCTGGAGTCCATCACAGGGCTGCATGTTGGAGCAGGAGTCCCCATGCATGCGTGGGTTTCCCCCGCAGATCACCACATGCCCTACAGGTTAACTACTGTTCCTCGCTGTGGATAAAAGCGTGAATAAACATAAACAGGGACATCGAATAAGTCACTTACACCTCCAGTTCACCTGACATGTTTGTAAGAAGAAACATGCATGCATGGGGAGAACATGTTGACTGGATTTGAACCTGCAACCTTCTTGCTGCAAGGCAACAGAGCTACCAGCTGTGGGAGAGGGTTTGGAGGTGTAAAATGATTTTGCTGTGCCTGAAAACAAAATTGGATTAATTTTTCCTTCAGAGGAGGAACATCTGGGGCAGCAGTAGCTCAGGAGGTAGAGCGGTGTAGTGGAATTAAAACACACTAACAACGACCAATAAGATGTGATGATTCCATATGAATATGAAATATCAACCTGATTGATCTTTGAATGTTTAATCAGAAGATTCTAGGGTTCTTTGCTTCTTCAGGGACCACAAACACACTTCGTATTAATTCAGAGTCAGTATGTATTAGTGGTGTGCATCTCTACCTGCCTCACGATTCGAGCCAATTCCAATTATCTGCCTAAAGATTCGATTTGAGTCTGAAATGCATCACGATTCTTCACACAAAAATTTTCATTACTTAATAAAAGCAGTAGAATAGTTTTCAATTTCTTTTTGATTTCGAAATCCCTGAAAAACAGAACATTCATCTATTCACTATAGTGAGCAATAATGTTTAAAGTGTGCTGCCTATAATTACTTAAATAATATAAGAAATAATGTTTTCGGTAGAGCAGCTTTAAGATAGAATATTACTGAACTTAAAAATAGTAAACAAATACTGTGTTAAGTGATTCTTTCACATCCAGGATCCCAAAACCGAAATTAGCCCAGACATCCGATTTAAATGTAACGGGTACATCTTTGATTACTGGTAATGTTGGCCCTGTATCCCTGTCCGCCTTTTCTGTTTTAAATTGGCGCTAGGGCAACACAGTGCGCATGTCATTGCAACTCTGCCCCCAGAAGTAATTGTAAAACCTCAAAACTTTATTGTCTTCGCATAGACATAGACCAGGGGTGCAGGTAAATATCTGCAGAAAACTGGTAGCTTGGAAAACTGAGCAAGACATGTGGGCCGAATGTATTCTATGTAAATGATCACATACCACTGTCATGTTTGACTTTTCTTCCTTATCCCTTTTGTTCTTTTCTGGCTTTCAGACAGGTAACTGCTTCCTGTTCAGCGTTTTTTGTTTTAAATGTTGCCGGCTGCAGCTGCAGGATGAGCGCGTGTATCGGGGGCAGGGTGGGGACGGGGGGTTGTTAAAGGCCAGTGTCCTGAGCTTACTCAGTTTTTTACGGCGTTTATTTCATAAACAGAAATTGTCTGGGGCCCCTAACTAGCTCGAGACCCTAGGTAATTGCTGACTTTTTCCTGTCCTGTTGCGACAGGCCTGCTAGTGACAGATGGCTGCAGACAATGGGGAATTCACAGTGTTAGTTTTGTTAGATCTTTCTGCAGCTTCTGACACTGTTGACCACAGCACTTTAACTAACAGACTTGGTGACTCGGTGGGGATCTCTGGGACAGTTCTAGACTGGTGTTGATCGTACCTTTCTAACAGAAGTTACAGAGTCTGTAGAAACCAAATCGAGTCAGATTCTACCAATATGTTCTGTGGGGTACCCCAAGGCTCTGTTTTGGGTCCACTGTCGTTTCTGTCTTGCAACAAAGTGGATGGAGGCTGTAGGAGAGGCAGGAGAGACGATACATCCGATGGTGTTAAACAGCACCTTGGGGTTCCCTTTGCTCTGGGACACCAGGTTGGGGAAATAGGAAACCCTCGCATCTCTGACTGCAGAGTTAGAGGTCAGAAGATCCTTTAGGTGCAGCAGATGGACGTGGAGATTTTCTTCCACAAGCACTCAATTTTTCTGCATTGGCGCTTTAGGCTGCGAAGACTGTCATTAAACCAGGGAGTAGGGTTCACTGCAGGAACTGATCTGGTTCTGACAGGACAGATATTGTCCAGGATGGAGAGGCAGTGCTCGTTAAACTGAGAAGTTAAGGAATCTGGGTCATTATCAGAAGAACAGGGTGGATCAAAAGCAGCAGAACATTAGCTAACTGTGCTCTCATTAAGAAAACGAGAACTAACCATACGGCGAGCAGGAGGTGGGGACGCAGAAACTGGCAAGTTAAAGAAAATGCAATGGTGATCTGAAATATAAACGTCCTCAGGACAAACACTGTCAGCATTTAGACCCAGGGTAAAAACAAGGTCCGGAGTGTGTCCCCTGGTGTGTGCGGGGCCAAACATGCTGGATAAAGCCGAAGGACCTAGTACCTGTCAAAAACCTAGTAGCTGAGTTCTGTAAAAGTTGGTGTCGTGCAGCCGTGCCCGGACTCAGACCAGCATCTTGTATCTACAAAAGCATTACAGTAGTCCAGTCAGGACAGCACAGACTTCAGATGAGCTCTGGACAGCAAAGACTTGATCCTGGAAGACAGTCGCAGATTAAAAAAAGGACTTCACAGCCATGTTTGCTTGTATGTCAAGCTTAAGAGAAGAATCAGTTTTTATCCTCAGATTACTGACTACTTTCTTTTCGTACAGGGATAATGAGACAAGGTCAACATCAGCAGAACCATCTCTTCTGCCGGGGCTGGGTATTACAACTTCAGTTTTGCTCTCGTTTAAGTGCAGAAAATCAGAAGCCATCAAGCATTTAATGTCTTTCAAACAGTCAAGTAATGGAGAAACAGATTAATCTTCCCTGCGTCGAAGGGGAAGATAAATCTGGCAGCCTAGGCTTTTTCAACATAGCATGAACAACAACCCTCTTCAACGAGGACGGAACCGCACCAGAAGTGAGACCGCCATTTATGATTGCCAAAAGCAAAGGGCCTGTCACTGGGAAAGCTTCCCTATAGATTCTGGGTAAGAAAGTAAGCTATTGTTGTAACCTTCCACCACTAAAAACTGCGGACACAAATGAAACTTGGGTTCCAGAATGATGCAGCACATTGTAAGGGACAGAGACATACTATGCAAATCCAGGTACTGCACAAGTATTGAACACACTGAGTATTGCACTGATGTTATTGTGTACCAGGATAATGCCAGTACCAGTTAAACTTTACTCCCCAGTATCAGATTACATCAAAGCAGAAAGAAAGCACTGTATACATGGCTGCATACCATAAACACTAACAACATATTAAATACACAGCTACCAATGCCTTTCAGAAAGTATGAAAAGAAATGAGAGACTGAATGTCTGCAGGAAGACAATTCCAGTCACAGATCTCTCCTCTGATTGGCTAACAGCAACACAACTCGACCACTGACTCTGTCTGCTCTGCAACTTTGATGTTTTATCTTCACAAATAACACAAGTCCGGAGTTGCTAATGCTAACAGTTAGCTTCTACTAGCAGAGACATTCTCTGCTGTTTCCTGGACTAAACCAACAACAGCATTCCCCGTCGTGAGTCAAGATGGGTGAGTCCATGAATGTTAGTGACAGTGTGACGTGGATCTGTCAGGATTTTCTATCCTAGAGTTTCTATCAGAAGCTAATGCAGGAGATAGGTGTAAGAGGCTATTTTCATGTTCAGCCTGCATGAAACACTCAGAGGGACCCGTTAAAGTCAGGAACTATCATTAAAAATGTTTTCTTAGTGAACCACATGAACCCACAGAAGTGACCATCCATCTTTCAGGCTCAGTTTCGAGTGCAGGAGTCCTCCCAGAAGCGGGATCTTCTACAACTATCCCTGGAAAAATCCCAAACAGAAAACCATCCGGAGCTTCCACGGGAGCCTGCAGAAGAACCACCAAAATCCAGCTCCCCATCCTCCTTCTCCATCAGACCGGCGTATCTAACTGGTACCAGCACCACCAACACATCGGTGTCCTAATGTCACATTCACACATTGCTTCATTTTTATTTAGAAATAGTTCCAACAATGAGGATTTTTTAAAAATTTAAGTAAAAATTTATGTTTTAAATTATTCTAATGAGTTTTTGTAAAAAATAACTACTAAGACGGAATTAGATCAACTAAATAATTTAGACCAAAATAGGTTTATTAATAATTCATTAAATAGTATCTATTTCTACAGTCTTTCAATTTGATTAGAAAGAAAACATTTGTGAATTAGTGTTGATGTGAATATAAATGCTTAAACTGTTATTACTTTCATTTATTGGTTTAATATTTGCTCAGATATTTTCTATAAATCTTTGTATGAGCAAAGTTTTTGTAAAAACTTTATTAGTTTGAGAATACTAAACAAATCCAGGAAGTGTTTCTGCATTTTTATTACAGCAATAAATTCATTATTTATGTTAAATGAACTGTGATCGATTAGAGTTAATTAACAAGGATCTTAAAGCCGACTCATTTTACTTGTGATTGGAAATAATTAACAGTCAAATACGGATTCCTCTAAACAGAACTACCAGTTCAAGCATTTCTAGTTAGTTTATTGTTTAATCTAATCTTCATCCTTTCTCTGTGTCTTTAACGCTCTTATAGCAAGTCTGCAGAACTCTCACTCCTCTCCTCAGGTATCTTCCATGAGATGTTTCTGCTGGAACCAGAAGCCCACATTATCTAGGTTCAAACATCTTCTGTTGTCCGTGACTTCAGGTGGTGTTTTTCTTTTTGGGACTCAGGTAGTTTGTCCTAAAGCTGAAGTGGTAGCAGCCAGCTGTTTCTCCTCTGGTGTTATTGAAGGGAGAACCTCTCACCAGAGGTGTTCTGCTGCTGAATATGTAAGTGTGTGATGAGTGGAGGACCCAGGGAAGTGCGGCGGCTCGGTGGGACCGACAACCTGATGGGTTTTGGTCTGAAATGTGTTGGTGGAGGTTTCAGACAAATGTGAGAGAACCACTTTATAATTTTTTTTATCTCCACAATATATTTATAGCTTTATGATGTTAGAACGTAGCCTGAAAAAAAAAAGTTTAAAGTAATTTGTTTTACAAATTTGCCATTGCCACTTCAAGGATGTCTGAACAGGTTCTAACATATTCTAGCAGCGGATGGCCGGGAGATGTAATCTGCTGGTTTTGGACCGTTCTCCTTTAAGCTGGTCCGTCTGAGCTGTAGGCTGCAGCTGACATAACGAAGAAAAGTGAAAACACTGGAGGCCTCAAAGAGGCTTGGCATTAATCCCCACAGGACGCTGATTAAATGCTTTGAAGCTCTTATTTTGAAATGCTGGGGCTTTTTAGTTCAACTGCTCTCATGAAAAAATCATCAGATTTATGTAGAATACTACTTTGAATTTTTTTCCCACATAAAACTCTCATTTTTGCTTTTTTTAGGCAAACTTGAAGTCAGACTTATGGGATGTGAGGATTTACTGAAACCTGCGGCGGACCTGAAGCCAGAAAATCCTTGGACATCTTCCCAGGACAGATCAACCATTCCTGGTGAGTAATTGAATTGAATTCAGCTTATTTCTAAAGCGCCAAATCAGGACCAGAGTTGTCTCAAGGACCTTCACACAGTAAACACTCCACTACAGGTCAGGTCATTAAGCCAATCAGTAACAAGTTTCCTATATAAGGAACCCAGCAGGTTGCATCGAGTCACTAACTAGTGTCAGAGTCTTTACAGCAATCCTCAAGGAGTAAACAACCCTCTACTTTTTACTTTGCAGCAGTGAAGTTTAATCATCAATTTACTTTACTTGCGTATCCTCGCAGGGTCGCAGGGGGGTGGTGTCTATCTCCAGCTGTCTCCGGGGACGCAGGTTGGGGCACACCCCGAACAGGTTGCCAGTCCATCGCAGGGCAAGACAGGGACACACAGGACAAACAACCAAGCACACACACACACTCACACCTAAGGACAATTTAGAGACCAATGAACCTAACAGTCATGTTTTCGGACTGTGGGAAGAAGCCAGAGTACCCACAGAGAACCCACGCATGCACAGGGAGAACATGCAAACTCCACGCAGAAAGACCCCAGGTTGGGATTTGAACCCAGGACCTTCTTGCTGCAAGGCAACAGCTCTAACCACTGCACCACTGCTCAGCCCCATGAAGTTTAATGGTAGACCTACAATTTATATTAGAAAAAATTAAATCTTTTTTGTCCTCCTAGCAAACAAAAGGAATGAAGAAAATGTCCAAGAAATCAAAATTTCTGGAAGAGATTTGAGAGGAAGAAGACCATCCATCCATCCATTTTCATCCGTTTATCTGGAGTCGGGTCGCGGGGGCAGTGGCCTTAGGCGAGAGGCCCAGACTTCCCTCTCTCCAGCCACTTGGGCCAGCTCCTCCGGGGGAATCCCAAGGCGTTCCCTGGCCAGGTAAGAGACATAGTCCCTCCACTGTGTCCTGGGTCTACCTTTAGGTCTTCTCCCGGTTGGACGTGCCCGGAAAACCTCACCAGGGAGGCGTCCAGGATGCATCCTGACCAGATGCCCGAGCCACCTCAACTGGCTCCTCTCGATGTGGAGGAGCAGTGGGTCTACTCCGAGCCCCTGCCGGATGACCAAGCTTCTCACCCTATCTCTAAGGGAGAGCCCAGCCACTCTTCGGAGAAAACCCATTTCGACCGCTTGTATCCGCGATCTCGTTCTTCTGGTCACTACCCAAAGCTCATGACCACAGGTGAGGGTAGGAACATAGATTGACCGGTAAATCGAGAGCTTCGGCTTCTGACTCAGCTCTCTCTTCACCACGACAGACCGGTACAACGCCCGCATCACTGCAGATGCAGCACCAACCCGCCTATCGATCTCACGCTCCAGTTTTCCCTCACTCGTGAACAAGACCCCGAGATACTTAAACTCCTCCACTTGGGGCAGGACCTCATCCCTGACACGGAGAAGGTATTCTACCCTTTTCCGAATCAAGACCATGGTCTCAGATTTAGAGGAGCTGATTCTCATCCCAGCTGCTTCACACTCGGCCGCGAACCGCTCAAGCAAAAGCTGAAGATCATGTTCTGATGAAGCCAACAGGACCACATCATCTGCAAAATGCAGAGACCTGATCCTCAGGCCACCAAAACGGATGCCCTCCACACTTTGGCTGCGCCTAGAAATCCTGTCCATAAAGGTTATGAACAGAATCGATGACAAAGGGCAGCCTTGGCGGAGTCCAACTCTCACTGGGAACGAGCCCGACTTACTGCCAGCAATGCGGACCAAGCTCTGACACCGGTCATACAGGGACCTAACAGCGCATATCGGAGAGCCTGGTACCCCATACTCCCGGCGTACCCTCCACGGGGCCAAGTAGCCAGGGCGCATGATCAATCGGGACACTGTGACAGGACGCTCAATCGGGACACTGTGACAGGACGCTCACACTGTCACATCTGTCTTTCGCTGGGTTGGGATTAGCCGAGTGTTATGCAGCTGGGATGAGAATTAGCTTATCTAAATCCAAGACCATGGTCTTAAGTCGGAAAAGGCTAGAATGCCTTTTCCGAGTCAGGGATGAGGTCCTGCCCCAAGTGAGGAAGTTTAAGTGTCTCAGGGCCTTGTTCGCGAGTAAGGGAAAGCTTGAGCGCAATAGATAGGTGGATTGGTGCTGTATCTGCAGCTATGCGGGCATTGTACTGGTCTGTCGTGGTGAAAAGAGAGCTGAGCCAGAAGGCAAAGCTCTCGATTTACCGGTCAATCTACATTCCTACCTTCATCTATGATCATGAACTTTGGGTGGTGACCGAAAGAACGAGATCGCGGATACAAGCGGCCGAAATGAGTATTCTACACAAGGTGTCTGGGCTCTCCCTTAGAGATATGGTGAGAAGCTCGGTCATCTGGGAGGGATTCAGTGTAGACCCGCTGCTCCTCCAAATCAAGAGGAGCCAGTTGAGGTGGCGCAGGCATCTGGTCAGGATGCCTCCTGGATGCCACCCTGGTGAGATATTATGGGCACATCCAACTGGAAGGAGGCCTAAAGGGAGACCCAGGACACGCTGCAGGGACTATGTCTTCCACCTGGCCAGGGAAAGCCTTGGGCATGTCATGTTCCAGCCTGCTTCAAGACCTCCACCATAGTCCCTGTCCCCAAGAAACCAAGGATCACTGGTCTCAGGGACTACAGACCTGTAGCTCTGACATCTCTGGTCATGAAGTAATTTGAGCACCTGGTTCTCCCCCACCTCAAGACCCTCACAGCCCCCCTGCAGGGGCAGTTTGCCTACAGAGCCAACAGGTCTGTAGATGGTGCCATCAACATCGCTCTACACTTCATCCTGCAGCATCTGGACTCTCGGGGTACCTACGCCAGGATCCTCCGAGTCAAACTGTCCCAGATGAACATTCCTGACCCCATCTGCAGGTGGATCACTGACTTCCTGACAGACAGGAAGCAGCAAGTCAGGCTGGGGAAGAATGTCTCTGACCTGCAGACCATTAGCACCGGTTCCCCTCAGGGTTGTGTTCTCTCCCCTCTGCTCTTCTCCCTGTACACCAACGGCTTCACCTCCAACCACGAGTCTGTCAGGCTTATCAAGTTTGCAGACGACACCACCGTCATCGGATTCATCTCTGATGGGGATGAGTCTGCATACCGAATGGAGGTCAAATGGCTGGTGTCCTGGTGCAGCTACCACAACCTGGGGCTAAATAAATAAATAAAATGGAAAAATGCTTGAATTAAAACTGTGTCTCACTCGGGTCAGGGTTAGTGTTCACAACCAGAAAATCCTTGCTGTTGGAGTTCAGAGATGTGGATTTAAGGCCGTCTCGATAAAGTGTTGTGGTCTGTCTGGCAGCAGAGATCAGTGCAGCACTGCGACTGGATGGCAGAGTGGTGGGCTGGACGCGTTGGGCTGCTGTTGGCAGACTGAGCTGGGATCAGATGTTCTACATCAAGCTGGAGCGGGTGAGTCTGAGCTGTTATTGGAAAAGATAAGCATGATATCATTTTTCACCCTGAGAAATCTCTGTGTCTCAGTAATTTTACACAGCAAAATGTAGTGATAATTTATTATCAGTATCTACAAAGTACAATTTAAAGACATGTAAAGTGAAAACTAGTGGTCTAAGCACAAAATCCTGAGGGACTCCATCTAGTACTCCATCTCCCGCCTCGATTACTGCAATGCCCTTCTAACTGGTCTTCCAGCCTGTACTGTGAGACCTCTTCAAATGGTCCAGAACGCAGCGGCGCGTCTGGTCTTCAATCAGCCAAAAAGAGCACACGTCACCCCTCTGTTCATTGAGCTCCACTGGCTACCGCTAGCAGCATGCATCAAATTCAAATTGCTAACACTAGCATACAAAGTCCGAGATGGTACGGCTCCCATCTACCTGAATCCTCTTGCAAAGGCTTACGTCTCGGCCCGGCCGCTCCGGTCATCACAGGATCGTCGGCTAGCAGTGCCTACACCACGCTCAGGACAATCCAGACTCTTCTCATGCATCGTTCCACAAATGTGGAATGACCTTCCAAGCACTACCAGAACAGGGGCTTCCTTTTCGACTTTAAAGAAACTCCTGAAGACCCTGCTCTTCAGAAAGCATCTTCTAAACTAGCACCCTCCCTGCACCCGTCCCCCTCTCTACTGTCCACTCCTTGTTCCCTCCTCTCCATGATTCATCATGCTGCCTCACTGCCACCTACGACTGACTGGAAATAGTTTGTTGTTGTTGTTATTGTTGTTGTTTGCCTCAAGGGCAACGCGCCCATTATAACTTGTAAGTCGCTTTGGACAAAAGCATCTGCTAAATACATAAACATAACAAACATAAACATAGTACGTGGTTCATGATCAACAGAAACTAACTAAATATTAAATGGCCATTATTTGATTACGTGTCTTCTAGAGTCCTACGTAGCGTAGGAGAAGACCATGTATTGCAAAGGTTATGACATTTGTCAACAACCTGCCCCACCAGTGGGCAGAGGTCATCAGACATTAAGTGTCCAGCTGGTTTCATCTGCCGGGAATATTGTGTGCTTCTTCATACCAAAACAATCCAGTTTTTTCATTTCTACCCTGGCCATCTGGATATGCCGCCATAACAATCCCTCATGTTTACATGGAGCTGCACTCACAAGGTCTCCTCCAGGAGACGAGAATTTCTTACTCTTAACTCTAATAAAAGGATCTTATATTTGTCTCATAAAATGATTTATTTAACTTTGCATGTTATTTACAATCATATTCTGTTTTACCTACAATTAATGTTTTGTCTAAAGTGACTTAATAATGTCTTGACTGCTTTACAGTAATGAATGAAGCAACATAAAGTTTTATTCTTGAAAGGCCTTATTTCACATCCTAAATACACCAAAGGAGTCTACCTGATGATTTAATAATGATTTACCATCAGTTATGTCACATATTAATATCAGTATTAACAAATAACTCTTTAACAAATTTACTTCACATATTAGGTGAAATAACCTTTTCGGAGTGTCTGAGAAAGGCGAGGTCTGAAGACTTTTTGAAAACTCCTATTAAAATTTCTCAAATCTGGTTGGTTTAAAACTTAGAAATGTAGCACGATGGATGTCGCTACATATTTGTTAAATGATCAACAAGATGTGAGATTCCATATAAATATGAATTATCAATCTGATCAGTCTTTGATTATTTGAGTTAATATTACCTTTAGGTTCTTTGGACTATTCAGGGAACACACACTCCATATGAATTCAGACAGAGTCGAGGATATAGTTAATAAAAATGAATTTATTTCTGTTTTTCTAAACTAAAGTATGCATGAAAGGATGGTAGTACAAGATAACAAACAATGAATGAAATGATGGAATGTAAACTAGATGTTTATGTAGCAAAACCTTGTTAAGTATCTGAGAGATGTGATTTCTGGGTTGCAAAATCTGTTTGACTGTATGGTTTATTAAGCTAAAGATTATTCAGAAAACCATCCCATGCCAGTGTGAGAATCTACAAACCCTTTGTGTTGAAGGCCCTCGTGCGATCCAGCGGGCCAAGAGGTCGGTATGGACAAACTGCCGGTAACGTGGACCTCTAAGAATCGGAACCCGTAAATCTGCTCAGAGTACGACCCGTCTGCTCCGAGATACCTTCCAGGTGATGGCAGGAAGCTGGCGTATCTATTTTCCATCTGAAACCACTCGCAAGCGTTGCAGAGAGGCTTTGACCTTGGGGTCAAAAGAGAGGATGGTCCCAAGTGCTTGCTCACCCGGTCGGCTGAACCAGGAGGCTGATTAAAACTGGCTAGATCAGGAAGTGAACTCTATTTTTTATTAACTACCATTGACAAATTTAGACGAACCAGAATTTGACACGTTTTAAAGGCGTTACCAAAGTACCTCAGGAAATCACTCCTTCCCTCAGATACTTGGAGAGGTTATTCTTAGTGTGAAACAAAAACGTTTTAATCATTTGTGATAATATGGTGACATTACTGTGTTCATACTGATAGATAAAATTATTAAAATCAACAAATACTAATCTGGTGTCATTTAGGATCTGAAATAAATCATCACAGGAAAAATATTCATTTTAACCCCTCATTTAAAGTATAGGACACATTATTCAAACACTTAGGATTTAAACACATTTTTCATTCAACAAAATATGATTATATAAAGTATTAAAGTCATTTATGAGCCGGGGGAGATAGACTTTATTCAAAGAGGATAGATAAGAAGTCCTGCGTCTTTGCAGTCTTGAGGACTCATGACGTACGCAGGATTAGTTAAGAACATCGGCTCAAGTTCATGTCTTCATATCGGCACCACGGTGTTGGATTGACCTGTATGAAGAAGTTTGGCCTGTAAGCTAAAAGTTAACTTCTTGTCATTTTGATGAAAACTTGGCCATTTGGTACGCTACATAAACAACGAACCCTTAAAGGAGAAAATACTTCCTTTATTCGGCAGTTCAGCGAGGCAGAGCCAGCCTTCAAGCTAAATTAGCATCCTTTGGGGCATTAAAATCTTTTAGTGGAACATTTTAGCTGCAAGAAACACCCTTTTCCATGATCAAACAACCAGTCTTTGCTAACCTGCAAACACCTGCCAGCTTCTGCAGACGTGTCTCCCGTGGATTCAGAACAGAAGTCCATCACTCGCCTGGCGAGAAGACTGAGAAACCCTACCACACGGGTACCGCAGCTCTCACGCTGGCGCTGGATGGTAACTTGTTAAACCTCATTAAGCAAACAGCCAGATTATTTCATAAACGCAGACAATGCATTTTTCTAAGACACTTTATTAGACTTTCAGTAACATATAAGATCATATTTTATCATTGTTTATTCATTAGTCTTTGCTGATATCACTCTGAATCACCATCATCATTAGTAGAAATTTAGTAATAAATTCATTTTTATAAACTATATTTTTGTCTCTGTGTCAAATTATTTTAAAGTTTTGTTTCCCTGGATTACCCAAAGTACCTAGCTTCAACGTCAAACAGTAATATTGATAACCCATATATTTATGGAATTTTACATTTGATTGAATACCTTTATATTCTACTGACAATCTACTAAAAGTAACGTTACACCTAGAACCCTCCAAGGGGCTTTACAACTCATCCAGTCATTCACACAATCACATCCTGGTGGTGATGAGCTACCATGTAGCCACAGCTGCCCTGGGGTACACTGATAGAGGTGAGGCTGCTGTACATAGGCGCCACCGGTCCCTCCGATCACCACCAGCAGGTTAGGTGTCTTGCCCTAGGACACAACAGCAGCATTCTCTGGCAGGAGCCGGAATTAAACCTGCAGCCCTCTGATTACGGGACAACCTGCTCTAAGCCCGAGCTAGAAGCTGTCAGATAAATGTGACAAAAACCAGGTCGTTGATGGTTATTTAGCCCAATCACGTGTTCATTGACAGAATATATTTAGCCATTTTCACTGGAGCCGTGATGTAAACCTCTAAGTTCTGACTGAATAACAGTTTGTGTAAAAATTCACACAATGAATCAGCAACAGCATGTTTACCTCAGATTTCTGTTTGAATTTAGAGGATAATGGAGAAAGATCATTTTAAAAAGCAAATAATGATGGTTATTATGTAGAAATGAAGTAAAAATGGCATCCTGTGGTAAAATGTGGTTACTGCAACCACTTTAAACAACTCTGGAGCTTTTTGCTGGCCATCGTCAAATTGCAATAGTGGGCGCTGCAGCGACCAAACCGAAACCGGGCCGGGCTGTGACCCTCCCTCTAATAGGCCATTCCCATCTGTACCGGGTCGGCCCAGGCCGGGTAGCCCCAGTCGGCCCCAGCCTGGCCCGGTTGTTTCCACACATCCTTGCTTAGGTATGCAAAGCCCTTTTCAGATAGACATTCTGGAACATTTGTGGACAATTCAATCCGGTTTTTAACCGGAACTGTGTTTTCAGACACACCACTTTTGTACCGGAACTTGTCCTTTCGGCTGCGTTCACACCGCAGGGAAAAGTTCCAGATGTCTGACGGCTGCGGGGGGGGAGAATCGGACTCATGTTAAGAAGAAGAAAAATCATTTCTATAGCGCCTCTCAAGATAACAATCACGAGGCGCTTAAGCATAATTCTGCGCACACGGACGCATAAGAGACCTGGATGATGAAGCTCAATGGTTTAAGGAATCACTGAAGCAGCGTGAAGCGCTCCGTCGCGCGTCTAGACGGTACCGTAGGAGGCGAGCTGCCGTGGTTCGCCGCATGCTACAGGAGCGGGGCTATCTAGGTGCGCACAGCGTCCCCCGGTCCCCTCCTCCCCCTCCCCCTTGTCCGGAACTCTACCTCACCAGTCTGAAGCAGCCACCATGTCCGTAACAAGTCCGGACCTGTTACTAGGGGCTTCGTCCGGATAAATTCCGGAACACTTTATCCGGATGTTTGTATTCAGACACAAAGGTCTTACGGACAGAGTCCTGAACATTTCCGTTTTTCATGGCCTGTCTGAAGGGGGCTCAAGGAATGCAGTCAGAGACACTTTCAGCTTCTGGGTAATCAGCATGATAATGAATGATAATGAATTGAGCTTGCCTTAAGCCCATGTGGGCTGATTCTACCCACCAATCAGAGGCTTGCTCTAATGGAAGGTGTGAATTTGCTGTCAGCAGTGGGTGTGTTGGCCCTGGTCGGCCTGAAGCAGACCCCCTCGAGAAGAGGGCTGAGAATGAGCCTTGGTTGGCCCGGAAAAATACCAGGCCACCCAGATATGTAAACAACCTACGCTGCCCGGCCCGGGCCGACCCGGTACAGGTGGGAATGGGGCTTAAGACTGAGGTGTTTTTACTTTGTAGACAACAGGGGGAGCCATTGTGGTCCTCTTGTTGTAGTCCTGTCTGTAACCAGCAGGGGTCAGTCTAATACCTGCAGATTTCAAGTCCTCTGCTCATTTTTGTACTCAAGTTTTTTTAAAGTTGTTTTTCTTCCAAAACAATCAAAGGTTTTGTTCAACAACAACGAGAAATGTGTTGAAGCTTAATGCGTGATGTGCTGTTACACAGAAAGGTTTCTGCGTTCATTAAAGCAGATGGAAGTTTAAGTAACAGAATGGTTTCTTCTAACACTCATTTAGATTGATTTACTGAGCGAATGTTCCTGAGCAAACCTCCAGTTTAACTGTTGTGCCAACAGTCTCGAGAGCTGGAGGTTTGTATCTTCTGGCGGGACCAGAGGGCGATGTGTGCTGTCAAATTCCTGCGCCTGGAGGAGATGATGAAAAACCCAAATCAGAGCCAGGGCTTCAGGATGGAGCCTCAGGGCCTCCTCTACATTAAGGTACAATAAATAAATATAAGGACAGATGAACAGGCAAGAAATCTGGTACATTTATTCAGTGAATTTGTGGTAAAACTCAAATCTGAAGGGAATAAATGGCCTGTCTTTGATATAGCACCTTCTGGAGTCCTACAACCTTCTCAGTGGCCTAGCGCTAGAGTCCACCCTGGGACTAGGAGATCAGGGTTCAAATCCCAGTCGGGTCATACCAAAGACTTTAACGACGGGACCCAAGGCCTCCCTGCTTGACACTCAGCTGTAAGGGGTTAAACCATGAGTTTCACCGGTGTGTGATGACTAATGGGACCAGAACATTAGAACAACAAAAAGAATGAGAAGTTGGACGTTTCATTGTTTTTCCTTGCAGCTCCTTCCTTTTCCTCAGCTCTACATCAAAATGTTGTAGGTTTATAAAGACAAGAAAGTCTTTTTCTGCCTGGTTCCACAGCTTCAGTTCATCAACTCTGTGGTGGAGAGACAACCGAAACTCAAACGCCAACGATGCATTTTCACTAAAGAGAGAGGTACGGACCATCAGCTCTTCAGGAGATACAGATTTAGGTCCTGCATCAAACTTTTTCTGTTTCAGGTAAAAACTTCCTCAGAGCAGCTCAGATGAACATGAACTTTGCCACGTGGGGTCATTTGATCATGAGCATCCTCCCTAGATACAGCTCCTTCACCACCTTCAGCTCACACCTTTCCATGACCTCTGACCTGATCACCAGCAGCACCCTGCACTTGGCTGAGAAGAAGCCTCAAAACACCACCTCACTACCAAGGTACGGTAGCATGGCAACACATCCTATATCTGTGAATGACCCATAGGGAGAGTTCAGTCATGGGGCGGAGTCTTTCAGTCATGGGGCGGAGTCTGCGGTTGTCTTTCAAACTGTCTCCACATGCAGGGAGCTTTGTGCCCTGAATGTGCATCCCACATGTGCTACGTTACCAGTGCAGTGCTACGTTACCAGTGCAGAGCTACGTTACCAGTGCAGTGCTACGTTACCGGTGCAGTGCTACGTTACCGGTGCAGTGCTACGTTACCAGTGCAGAGCTACGTTACCAGTGCAGTGCTACGTTACCAGTGCAGAGCTACGTTACCAGTGCAGTGCTACGTTACCAGTGCAGAGCTACGTTACCAGTGCAGTGCTACGTTACCAGTGCAGAGCTACGTTACCAGTGCAGAGCTACGTTACCAGTGCAGTGCTACGTTACCGGTGCAGTGCTACATTACCGGTGCAGTGCTACGTTACCAGTGCAGTGCTATGTTACCAGTGCAGAGCTACGTTACCAGTGCAGAGCTACGTTAACAGTGCAGAGCTACGTTACCGGTGCAGAGCTACGTTACCGGTGCAGAGCTACGTTACCAGTGCAGTGCTACGTTACCAGTGCAGAGCTACGTTACCAGTGCAGAGCTACGTTACCGGTGCAGTGCTACGTTACCAGTGCAGAGCTACGTTACCAGTGCAGTGCTACGTTACCAGTGCAGAGCTACGTTACCAGTGCAGTGCTACGTTACCAGTGCAGAGCTACGTTACCAGTGCAGTGCTACGTTACCAGTGCAGAGCTACGTTACCAGTGCAGTGCTACGTTACCAGTGCAGAGCTACGTTACCAGTGCAGTGCTACGTTACCAGTGCAGAGCTACGTTACCAGTGCAGAGCTACGTTACCAGTGCAGTGCTACGTTACCGGTGCAGTGCTACGTTACCAGTGCAGAGCTACGTTACCAGTGCAGTGCTACGTTACCAGTGCAGAGCTACGTTACCAGTGCAGAGCTACGTTACCAGTGCAGTGCTACGTTACCAGTGCAGAGCTACGTTACCAGTGCAGAGCTACGTTACCAGTGCAGTGCTACGTTACCGGTGCAGAGCTACGTTACGGTGCAGTGCTACGTTACCAGTGCAGAGCTACGTTACCAGTGCAGAGCTACGTTACCAGTGCAGAGGTACGTTACCAGTGCAGAGCTACGTTACCGGTGCAGAGCTACATTACCAGTGCAGAGCTACGTTACCAGTGCAGAGCTACGTTACCAGTGCAGTGGGATTTCTCGATCAATCCTGCTGGCATCGAAGTCGGCTCGACACGACAACGCTTTGGTCACGACCCGTTTGGATTACTGTAATGCACTTCTTTACGGCTTACCACAGAAACTTCTTTGCAAACTACAACTAGTTTAAAACTCGGCAGCACGTATAGTCTCTATAACATCCCTGTCTCAGCACATCACACCAGTCCTCAAAGAGATGCATTGGCTGACAATTCAGAGTTGTATCAAAATTTTACTGCTAACATTTAAAGCCCTACACAATATGGCGCCACCCTTTTTAGGCCATCTCATTCAGGTCCATACACCATCTTGCACTCTGCGCTCCTCAACAGGCAAACTTCTTGCTATCCCACCCATCCATTTACCAACCATGGGACTCGGGTCGTTGAGTGCGTCCGCACCACGGCTTTGGAAACTACTTCCTCTGCCTATTCGCACGGCTTCTATTCAAACCCTTAAATTGCTTCTTAAAATTTGTTTTTTAGATGAGCATATTCCGCGTGACTTTCATTCACTCTACTATTTTATCTCACTACTGGTCGATGGCTTTATTGTAACAATGCTCACTGTTGTTTCGTGGATGTATTAAATTAGATTCGCTTATCTGAGATGAATGGTTCATTTCTTAACTCTTGTTTTTATCCTTGCAACAGGTCTTACATGTGTGTGTACGAGTTTATTGTTGGTGTAAATCGTTATTTGAACTGTCTGATACATGATTTTAACTTAGTTTATTATTTATGTCTGATGTACAGTGTCCTTAAGACTCTTGAAAGGTGCTTACAAATGAAACGTGTTATTATTATTTGTAGCGTAGGACAGGCCTTTTATGCCAGTAACACGGTCCACAGCCAGCTTCGCCTGCCCGGAATGCTTCACCTGCCCGGAATGCTGGGTGCTTTTCCATACCAAACAAGTGCCCTGTTTGCCATCTCCAGCCTCGCCACCGGGAGGTCCAGTCATACCAGAACCAGTCACACGGAGACTCCAGACAGAACTCTTAACTTTAATAAAGGAATCCTATTTTGTCTCATACAAGGATTTCCTCACTTTACAGGTTAACTACAATCATGTTCTGTTTTCTACAAGGAATTTTTATCTAAAGTAACTTTAACAGGCCTTGATTATTTGACAGGAATGAATAAATCAAAAATAACTGCTTGTTCTTTAAATGCCTTATTTCAGATTTTAAATACACCCAACAAATATACTTGATGGTTTAATAATGATTTTATAATCAGTCACATATTAATATCAGTATATTATCAAATGACTGTCATATTATATTTACTTAAATAGTTCACTTTATTAAGTGAAATAAGCCATTTTGATGTTTTGGAAAAAGGGTCTGAAGAATTTTTCTTAACAGCTTCAATCTCTGGCATCTGACTGGTCCAACTCAGACCTTAACAGAGGAATCCATCCATTCTCTTCCAATTATCCGGAGTCGGGTTGCGGGGGCAGCAGCCTAAAGGTTGGTTTATGCTTGACGCGTCCGCGAGGTCCGCACGGCTCTGCGCGGAAAAGTTGCGTCATTTTAACAACCACGCCCCTCCACCGCGTCTCCGCACGGCCCAAGATTTCCGCAACGCGCACCTCGGAAAATTTCTAACCACGCGGACGGACGGACGGACGGACGCGGAAAAACATGGCGGACCGGCAAGAACTATTATGGCAGAGGTTCGTAAATACATACATTTTTATGATTCAGCTCTCAAAGATCACCGTGATCAACATGTTGTTAATAATTCTTGGAGAGAAATAGCTCGCACTGTCGGAAAAGATGAGGACGCTGTTAAAAAATGCTGGAATGCCGTGTTGTAAACAGTAATTTCTACTTCTACTATGGTGTAGTGTTGAATGCATGCCGTAGAGCTCCATGCTGCCCCATTCAGTTTGGGAGAACATTGGCTCACCGCAGAGACGAGCCGCACAAACCATTAACGCTGCGAGTTGTGAAGTGCGTTCCATCCGCGAGCCGCATCACCGCTCAGAAAGTGAATGCGTCAAGCATAAACCAAGCTTAAGGCGAGATGCCCAGACTTCCCTCTATCCAGCCACTTGGGCCAGCTCCTCCAGGGGAATCCCAAGGTGTTTCCTGGCCAGCAGAGAGACATTGTCCCTCCAGCATGTCCTGGGTCTTCTTTTATGTGTCCTCCCAGTTGGACGTGCCCAGAAAATCTCACCAGGGAGGCGTCCAGAAGGCATCCTAATCAGATAACAGAGCCATCTCAGCTGGCTCCTCTTGATGTAGAAGAGCAGCGGGTCTACTCCGAGCCCCTCCCAGATGACCTAGCCTCTCACCCTATCTCTAAGGGAGAGCCCAGCCACCCTGTTGAGAAAACTCATTTCAGTCGCTTGTATCCGTGATCTTGTTCTTTCGGTCAGTCCCCAAAGCTCATGACCATAGGTGAGGGTAGGAACGTAGATCGACCGGTAAATTGAGCGCTTTGGCTTCTGGCTCAGCTCTCTCTTCACCCTGAATACACCTTACCAGGGAGGCTCAGGAGTGTGATCCCCTTTAGTTGGAACACATCCTGCGGTCCCCCTTTTTAAATAGAGGGACCACCACCTCAGTCTGCCAGTCCAGTGGAACTGCCCCCGATGTCAGCCAACACAGCCCTACGACATCCAGAGCCTTAAGGAGTTCTGGGCGGATCTCATCCATCCCTGGAGCCTTGCCACTGAGGATCTTGTTGACCACCTCAGTGACCTGAGCTCCAGAGTCCAACCCAAAGTCCCCGGGCTCTGCTTCTTTGTCTATGAAGTACTCTGCCCTCCAATCCACGACATCCCGAGTAGAGGTCAGCAGCACCTCTATATAAAGTCGGGAAACGGGTTTCAGCAACAGAACCGACCAGAATCCTGAAGGAGGGTCGTAACGACTGTTTACCATCAGTGAGAGTGGGGTGCTGTGTCTCCTGCGAGCTAATGCTGCAGCGTCCACTACTGTAATTAGAAGATGGCTGGCAAAAAGCTCCAGAGTTGTTTAAAGTGGTTGCAGTAACCACATTTTATCACAGGATGTAATTTTTACTTATTTTCTACGTAATGCACCTTTGAAACAAGTTTGAATTAAATAATCTGTTTCTTCCACCACAAACAGCAAAACTCCAGTAATCAGAGACACCACCACCGAGGAGCCACCTCCCGCCAGCGTGGATCCAAATGATGAAGCCCATAACTTTATATCCACAGAGCAGGAAGCGTCTGAGCTCCCAGAGAAATGGGTAAAAGATTAAACCGATAACTAGATCAGCGTAGAGTTCCAGTCCTTAAACTGGTAATCAATTAATAATAAATCTTGTGTTTCCAAGATACAAAAAAACACTTGCTTGTTGCTGCTGTTATTCAATAGAAACTCTCCGTTCATGATTATGTTATTAACATCTTTTTAGGGTAACTTTAGAGAATCGACTCAGACTTTTTCCACGTCAGAGATTAAGGTTTTTTCTAAAAGTCCGATCAAGTTTTCTGTTTGGGTTGGATTTGCAGGAATCCAGTAGCTGCTCAGAAGAGTGTGCATATCAGCCCAGACCCAAGTATACACACACACACACACACACACACATACACACACACACACATACACACACACACACACACACACACACACACACACGTTAAAACCTGAAAACTAACTCCTCTGCATCGTGCTCCTTCAGGATGCTGATGGACGATTTCAGATTGATTTCAGTTCTGGGACGTGGGCACTTTGGAAAGGTAACAGATTTCAACCCATTTTGCTTTTAATCAGCTGAGTTTTTCTCCTGTCTGCTCTGGTTTGATTAGTCATGTCTGATTTCATCAAGGTGCTTCTGGCAGAGTTTAAGAAGACAGGAAGACTGTTTGCCATTAAAGCCTTGAAGAAACGAGACATTGTGACTCGTGGTGAAGTGGACAGGTGTGTGAAGGACGTGGCCAATGAACCATGTCCCTTGTCATGAGTCCATTTTACAGTGGAAATTCATCTCAGGGCTCCTGGATGATTTGAGTTTTTATTCTTCAGCCTTATGAGCGAGAAGAGGATCTTTGAAATGATCAATGCCTCCAGACATCCATTCCTGGTAAACCTGCATGGATGCTTCCAGACCAGCGACCACGTCTGCTTCGTGATGGAGTATCTGGCAGGCGGCGACCTGATGATCCACATTCACAACGACGTGTTCTCCGAGGCTCAGACCAGGTGTGTCCTCTGGCGTGTTGACAGACCTCAGGATTATGTTGTTATGGTCTAACGGGTTGTTCTGCTCAGGTTTTACTCCGCCTGCGTCCTGCTGGGTTTAGAGTTCCTGCATCTGAATAAAATCATCTACCGGTAGGTCAGACGGTCACTTAAGCTTGGTTTTTGCTTGACGCATTTACTTTCCGCTTGGTGATGCGGCTGGCGGATGGAACGCGCTTCACAACTCGCAGCGTTTATGGTTCATGCGGCTTGTCTCTGCGGTGAGCCAATATTCTCCCAAACTGTAGGGGGCAGCATGGAGCTCTACGGCATGCATCCAACACTACACCATAGTAGAAGTAGAAATGACTGTTGTTTACAACATGGCATTCCAGAATTTTTTAACAGCGTCCTCGTCTTTTCCGACAGTGCGAGCTATTTCTCTCCAAGAATTATTAACAACATGTTGATCACGGTGATCTCTGAGAGCTGAATCATACAAATGTCTGTATTTACGAACCTCTGCCATACTAGTTCTTGCCAGTCCGCCATGTTTTTCTGCGTCCGACCATCTGCGTGGTTAGAAAATTTCCTAGGTGCGGAAAGTGTGGGCCATGCGGAGGCCAGGTGGAGGGGCGTGGTTATTAAAATGATGCAAGTTTGCCGCACGGAGCCGTGCGAACCTCGTGGACGTGTCAAGCGTAAACCAACCTTTAGACTCCGCCTCATCCAAGCTGCTGCTGTACATGATCCGTTTCATACAGAGATCTGAAGCTGGACAACCTGCTGATGGATGCTGATGGATTTGTAAAAATAACAGACTTTGGACTTTGTAAAGAAGGTAAGATAGTCAGTCTTGACTAAATTGATCAATGTTCCAATAATCGTGATCTATGATATCATAAAACTGCTGCTTAGCTGATGTTGGTGTGATATTTGACATTCCTGCAGGAGTGGGTCACGGAGATCAGACCTCCACTTTCTGTGGGACTCCTGAGTTTCTGGCCCCTGAGGTCCTGACAGACGAGAGCTACACTCGAGCCGTGGACTGGTGGGGGCTGGGCGTCCTCGTCTACGAGATGCTTGTTGGAGAGGTTGCTGAAGCCAATGAAGTCCTTTTGTGCTGCTTGCTTCTTTAGCTTTTCTCACAAGAACATTTTTTTTACGTAATCAAAGTTTTGACTAATAAGTTGCTCAATCTCATCAAGAGGTGTTTACTCAGGTCACATGACTTGGACTTGATTGGATGGAATCACAAAAGGCTTGAAACTTGACTACTCTGTCTTTGCACGTATTGTGCTGTGGAAAAGCTTGAGACCAACTTGTGACTTGAAAACAATGACTTGGTTCAATGGTTAATATAAACATTAAGGTGTAAATTTGCTCATCCATGAAGGGAAAAAGCTTTTTTAGCATTGCTCTGTCTTGATTCTAGTCTCCGTTCCCTGGTGAGGACGAAGAGGAGGTGTTTGACAGCATCGTCAACAATGATGTTCAGTATCCAACATCTCTTCATCCTGATGCTGTCTCCATCATGCAGAAGGTGCTGGAATATTACCGACTGACCTTTCAATCCAGGTGAAATCAAATCCTTTGAGGTTTAGAGAACGTTCTCTTATATTGATATCAAAAAGTCAGTGGTCACCGTAGATAAAATCTAGATTATAGTTCCATTATAACTCAGAAAAACTTTACATGGAGGGTAACTAAGGTCAACACTTGTTCACTGACACTGAGTTTTCTGCCTGAAAAGAACGTGACGGGTTCCCTTTAAACAAAGTTTTATTCAACTAAAATCACTAACTCCCCAGTTATCAGTGGTGTTTCTCAGGGCTTTGAACTAGAGCAGTTTTAAATGTTTTATTCTCCATGGTTTTATTTTCAAGAAACATCCTTTTTAACAGCACTCTATGCAGACGATACCTGACTCTATGTCTAACTATTGTTTCATCTCATAGTTCTTTTCAATGTTCAAAACAGTCCAAAAATCTTGTTTGTTTTGTTATGATGGAGTATAAACTGGTTAGAAACCACCATAAAATGTTCATTTGGATAATAAAAACTAGCAAACGACATCAGCTGAAAGTAAATCTGTTACATAAAGAGCTCACTTGTCTGATACTCTGAAAAGCTTCACTGATTCTATAGAAGTGTTCAGCCATTCAGAAACTTTCCAATGCTTTGAATAATTTGAACGTCAGACGTTTCCGTGAATAAAAAGTGAGCTGCAGCAAAAAGCTGTCCTGTGTTCGTAGCTGCTGAAGAAGAACCCGCTGAAACGTCTTGGAGCTGGAGAGAGAGACGCAAAAGAGGTTAAAGGAGAGAAATTCTTTCAGGTAACTACATTCTCCTACCATGGATAAAAGTTCTAATTTTAGCCTTTTTAATGATGACAGTTTAGAGAATTTGTGTTGACACTGATAACACTTTAGATCAGTGGTCCTCTTTGTGGCCCCTGCGCCCCCCTGCTTTAGATCATTCTCCTGTTTTATTGACTCTGAACTTTGGGACTGATGAGTATTTTGAGTCATGTTTCTTTTTGGATAGCCCATCGACTGGGAAGCCCTGACGACCAAGAAGCTAAAGCCGCCGTTCCTGCCGTCCATCAAGGACTCCACAGATGTGAGTAACTTTGACAGCGACTTCACTCAACTCCAGCCGGTGCTGTCGCCTCCCTCTAAGCCCTTCAGCCTCTCTGCAGAGCAGCAGGAAGCTTTTGCAGACTTTGACTTTTGTTTTTTTCATGGGTGAAGAAGAACAGGAGGACCAAAGAGCATCAGTGTGTTCATGTTACCGTCTACCTCCACAGGTAAACTATTTATAAATATGCATGAGTCATCCTCCTGCTGCTAAGTGAGGTGGCTCAGTGTAGATCAATACCATTGGCCCTCCTCAACCCTCACTTTGAACTAACTTCTTGTTACCGAGTGTTTGACCTGATTAAAAGAAGCAGAAAGTAGCATCGATCAACTTTATCAACCAACTCTGACCTGTTGAAGAAAGTCTTCCGTCCTCCAAAATACAACTGATGAGACGTGTCTGCTGCTAAATCATTTACAAGCTGGACAATGTGCTTAGTCATCAGCCAGTTAACGCTGATTAAATGTCCACACGCCATTTTTAACAGGGCAGAGGACATGGTTACACACATTTACCCTCTGTGGGCCGATGTCACACACACACACACACACACACACACACACACACACACACACACACACACACACACATCTACTTCCAGCTGCTACTCTCTGAAGCAGCTGTGGTTTCTATGCATCACTGTGACTGGCTTTGCTCGCTGCCTTGAACACAACATTTAGAAGAAAGTAAGCGTGTGTTGGTGAAACCGGGTAACACACGTGTGTTGGTGAAACCGGGTAACACACGCGTGCATCCACGGCTCTGTGTCCTCCAGACGCTCCGCGCTGCTAGCACCATTTAAGCCATGGATAACCACTTATAGCCATAATAGTTAGCCAGGAAAAGCTGGGATGAAGAAAGAAGTCCAGTTCAGAGTTTCGTACAGGTCAAAGGTCAGTTTACAGGTGTCATATGGTTTGGTCAAATCTCTGGGCATACCAGACATTTTTGTAGTTTCTATTTCCTATTTTAGACACAAATCACCCTCAGTAAGAGATTCACAGATCAGTTTCCTGTTGTGTTTCCTCTTTCTGGCCACGCAGTCGTGTTCTGACTTTTAGCTAACTCTCATCAGGAGTTTAGTCGGTAATGATTCACTCGTGCTGTTGTTCTTTCTCCATAACAACCCTGTGTTTCTGCTCTGAACACTACACACTTCACCGGGTCAATTTCACACAATGATTCACATTTTATCAACGTTCAGTCAAGTGTGAATCACAGAAAATCTGAATGTTTCTTCTTTAAAACCAAACAATGCCACTAAAAGAACAGGATTAGGATGTAAAATGCTGCACAGGTACTAATATATGCATGTAGAGCTCTTTGTTAGTTTTGAAAGTTGGGAGGACAGGAGGATGAAAACTTTTAAAACCCTTTAAAGCCTGAAACAATAATAGCAAAAAGCTGCCTTTTTGTGTAAATGTAAAAGTTCTAATATTATGCATACATATATATATTGTCAGACTCGAAGACTGGGTTCGGGA